CCCTGGAAGAACTGAATGGAAATGTACTAGTAGAAGGCAATGCTTTATTGCCCCCTAGCCTTTGCTCCCTTGTCCTTGAGTTGTGTGTATTAGTATTTTTTAAAATCCCAAAGAAGGGATAGCAAAAATGTCTGCAATGTTGTCCACCGACACTTAGCACTAGACTACAGGTAAAACACTGGGCACAGAGCCTGACCACAGTCTCTTTCTGTTGAGATCAACATTGAGGGAGAAGCCATACTGCTATCTTCAGGGGAAGATAGAGGCCCTGCTCCTGCTGCCTGATGGTTTGCCTCCTAGTGAACCACTGCCTGTTGGCATCTATGCCATTGTGTTGTCGAAGGCTTTCATGGCCGGAATCACTGGGTTGCTGAGTTTTCCAGGCTGTCTGGCCATGTTCCAGAAGCATTTTGCCCACATCTACAGCAGGCATCCTCAGAGGTTGTGAGGTCTGCTGGAAACTAGGCAAGTGGAGTTTATCTGTGGAATGTCCTGGGTGGGAGGAAAAGTGTACATCAAGGGAACCACTGACCACATAAGGAAGCTGATGACAAAACACAACCTACAAAATGTCTACAGACCCAACAAGATATCTCACAATCTCTGACAATGCCTGCCATAGATGTGGGTGAAATGTCAGGAGAGAATGCTTCTGGAACATGGCCATACAGCCCAGAAAACTCACAGTAACCCATCTATGCCATTCTTCATCCAGTGACCCCGCTGCTGGTTAACAATGAACCAGACCAGCACCTGCCTCCTCCCTGTAAGGGATTATATCCCAGCTGCCTGTGATGGTGGGGTTGCTATTATTATTGTTGTTGTTATTATTATTATTAATTATTATTGCTATCTGGAGGCATGTGAAACAACACCATAAGGGAGGGGTCACGCCTTTGTGGGTGAAACAAGGACAATTAACAGTTTGTGCTTAGGAGGATGGTGGACATTGTTGTTATTATCATTATCTGCATTACTTTTGATCTTTTGACAACTTTATTTGCCAATAGTAAGAATATCTAGTACTAGTAATCCAAGGAGTAGCCATAGATATGTTAGAGGTATGGGGAGATACAGATTGAAGAAAGAGTTATAATTAGGTTGTTGTAAGTTTTTGGGGCTGTATGGCCGTATTATAGAAGCATTCTCTCCTGACGTTTTGCCTGCATCTGGAGTCCCCGGTGGCGCAGTGGGTTAAACCACTGAGCTTCTGAACTTGTTGACCGAATGCTCGCAGGTTCGAATCCTGGGAGCGGTGTGAGTTCCCTCTGTTAGCTCCCGCTTCTGCCAACCTATCAGTTTGAAAACATGCAAATCTAAGTAGATCAATAGGTACTGCTGCAGAGGGAAGATAACGGCGCTCCATTCAATCATGCTTCTACTTGGTTGTTATACAGATTCCTCAGGAGACAGATAAGGTGGCTTGGTCTCTCCATACTACCAAGAACTTGCCACAATTTATTATGATCCATACAGTCAAAGGCTTTAGAATAGTTTTCTTAGATTACTAAACCAATGTCTGTCATCAAGTAATAGATTGGATGAGAGCAAACTGAAGCTGGCAAAAGTACTGACAAAACCGAGGACAAACCAGGAGATAGGGATCCAGCTTAAGTTGGATGGAAGTTTAAGGGTCATAGCTTGGGCATACTCTTGGGTTCAGCTTTTAACTTGAAGGCCCAGGTTTCAACTTCTTTCCCTAAGAACAATGCCAAGGACCATATCTCTATTTTCCATACAGGAGAACCTGACTTCTCTGCTCAAAATCCAAAACTGCACTCCTTCCTCTTCCCTTGAGAAAAGGAGCCCAAAGTGTACAGAATCCTGTTTTCCCATAGCAGATCTGACACTCTTCATACATCATATCTGTCCTTCCCATGGAGCAGAGAGGCGAGTGGACAGCTCCACTGTCTGTCACAATTTTTGGATTGTTAGATGTCTTATATAGCAATATTTTTGCTGATGTTGTAAATTAATGATAGGCATTTGGCCAGCTAAAACATCCTGGCTGCATCTCAGTTTCTGGGTAGATATTGACTCTTCTTGATTGGCATTGTTCTTTTGTTGGCTTCCTTGTTAGCATAAGGACCTTGTAAACATTTCCTTAACTTAATGAACCATTATCTCTGGTAAACAGATGTAAACACGCTGTTTTTATGGCATAATGAAAATCACGTGTAGTTCATGTTTTATCACTCTACACACTGTCTTGCCAGAGAAAGAAAATATGCCACACAGATTATTTATTTATTTATTTAAAGCATTTATATTCCGCCCTTCTCACCCCAAAGGGGACTCATGGCAGAGCACAACATATAATCGGCAAACATTCAATGCCGAAACATACTAGACCATACACATACAAAAGCATTAAAATCACTTATCTTGACGTTAAAATCCTCTAGTTAAAATTGTCTCAACAACCATATCGAATTTGGTTGGCATACTAAGAGTTCCGTAATCAGTAAAGAACAAGTAGTTTCTCTTTGTAATGCAGAGTTACATATATACAGTCATGTGAACAGTTTCATTGACACGCACAATGTCCTTTGAGAGAGATTTAAATGGTCTTTTGGTGTCCATGTGGAAGATCTTCTTCCAGCAGCTCAAGAAGCAAGAACTATCTTTCTCTCTCTGCAAGCTTCTGCACAGCTCAAGCCTAAAAATGTAACTGTTGCCAAAACTCCCAGGCTCAGCTAGCTCCCCAGGCATGGCCCCACCAATCAGCTTCGTGCTTTGCATTTTCAGTTACCATACTCACTGTTGTGACTCAGTTTGACTCTGAGTCAGGAGCTGAGATGTTAGGGCTTTCTGAGCCTGACTTTGGGGACTTTGGGCCTTCTGAACCTGATTTCCTGCAGGATGACGAGGAGGCTGATGGGTTACAGATTCCTGTACATGTTTCAGACGGGGCTGTTAGTGTGGCTGCTGAAGGAGAAACAGCAAGTCAGTTCCCGGGAAAAGGAATGTTCCTGCAGTTAGAGAGACTGATAGCGAGAGTGAAATCCCACACGGCCAGGTGGAGGATCCGTCCCAGCTGGACCCAGATAAGGGGTTGCATAGCCTTGCAGATAATGAATTAATGAGCAGACAAGATCGTTTGCAATTAAGGCTTCGGAGAAGCACTCGCTTGGCCAGCAAGCGAGAAGCCAAAGGGGCCCAAGGTCAACGCAATGCTTTCATGTTCGCAAAGGGTATTTAGTTTTGTAGCTGACAGGCAGTTGTTGTCAGTCCATCATTGCTCTTCCCATGTTAACTTCTGGAGATTTTCCTTGGCTTTTCGCAGCATGCTTCTGGCTTCCTGAGTCTGGGATTTGGGTCTTGTTTTCAACTGTTAACCATGGACTTTGTTTGGCCATTGCTAAAGGATTATGCTTCATGTTTTTGCCTTTGGATCTTGGGAACATTGCCTTTACATTTAAGTCTCTGTTTTGCCCATGTGACTATTGCATTTCTATTTCTTTGGTTTGATTTTGCTTTTCTCAATAAACTACAAAAACCTACAGCCTTGGTGTGTTGGTATCTGGAGCAAGGTGAAAACTACCCTGAGTTGCAACACTCACCAATTGATTTTTACGTGCCTTGACAGTTTCCCCATCAGTTAGCAATATCACTGTTCATCAGGTTCGCAACTTGGGAGTGATCCTGGACTCATTGCTGAGCCTGAAAGCCCAGGTCTCGGCGGTGGCCGGGAGAGCTTTTGCACAATTAAAACTTGTGCGCCAACTACGCCCGTACCTTGGGAAGTCAGATCTGGCCACGGTGGTCCACGCTCTTGTTACATCCCGATTAGACTACTGCAACGCACTCTACGTGGGGTTGCCTTTGAAGACTGCTCGGAAACTCCAACTAGTCCAGCGGGAGGCAGCCAGACTGCTCACCGGGGCGTCATACAGGGAGCATACCACCCCCCTGTTATGTCAGCTCCACTGGCTGCCGATCCAGTTCCGAGCACAATTCAAAGTGCTGGTTTTGACCTACAAAACCCTATACGGTTCCGGCCCAGCATATCTGTCCGAACGGATCTCCCTCTACGTCCCACCCCAGAATCTAAGATCTTCTGGGGAGGCCCTGCTCTCGACCCCGCCTCTATCACAAGTGAGATTGGCGGGGACGAGGAGCAGGGCCTTCTCGGTGGTGGCCCCCCACCTGTGGAATTCACTCCCCGGGGAAATTAGATCTGCAACATCGCTCCTTTCCTTTAGGAAAAAACTAAAGACATGGATCTGGGACCAGGCATTCGGACAAGCGGGCAGATAAAGAAAGAACTTTGATGATGAAATGATTAATTGATTAGATCTATGGAACTCTGAAGACGAAACGCTGATCACGAGAATAGTTTTTATATGATGTGTTATGTATTGGTTGTTGATTATGTTAACTGTGATAACTGTTTTTAACTATGGTTTTATATATTATGTGTAATTTGTATAAGCATCGAATTGTGCCTTTTCTGTAAGCCGCCCTGAGTCCTCCTTCGGGGATAGAGAAGGGTGGGGTATAAGCACCCGAAATAATAATAATAAAATAATCAACAACTTTTAATTACAGTCTAGCAAGCAGGCAGTTAATGATTTAATCATTACAGGCCTTAATATTTTTGAATGCTGTCTTCAGCCAAATTATCAGCTCTCATTCATTCATTCCTTTCACACAATTCAATTCAAACCATACATCAAGTCCACATTTATCAAATCTGCACATTATATTTTCGTGACACAGATGCTGGATGCCTATTTGTCGGGAGTGCTTTGATTGTGTGTTCTTGAATGGCAGGGAGTCGGACTAGATGACCTTGTGGATGAAGGCAGTTTTGAAACGACTTTAAAAAGTTTTCAGTTCTCTGGGGAAAGCCCTGCCCTTACTTGCTGGAAGTTATTGGAAAGTATTGTCTCATAAGTTGCCAGATTCTGGGCTGTTCCTGGCTAATCTCAGCCACGCATAATAAATCAAGAGGACTTTGATGTGCAAAGCTTAGAAGAGTGTTTTGGCTTCTCTAGTGGCTACATCCGGGAGATGATCCGGAGGGACATCCGCAGGGCCCGTGAACGGTACAGTGGGGAGCAGTTGAGCAAGGAGCTGAACAGCATCCAACAGCGTCTGGACAGCGTGGAGTGCCTGAGCCTGGACATTGTCATGAACTTCCTTCTCTCTTACCGTGATGCTCAGGTGAGCTGGTTTCTTGGGACCCTATTTAAAAAAGAAAAACAAAATCATGCTGTGTTGACCATAAAACAAAATCCAGAGTACTCATTCCAGGGATGCCTTTATGAAGCTGGCCAAATGTTAACATTTCATCGTACTAGCTTTTGAAACCCATTGGATTATGCCAAGGAATGAAACAACAAAGTTACAGGCCTTCATCTTGCTTGAGGCTGAGGTTTTACCCACCACGGTTGTGAAGTGTTTGGGAAGCCGTAAAAGGAAAACAGTGAGGTTGTTTGGGGTGTTGTGTTGTTTCTGGGCTGTTCTAGCAGCATTTTCTCCTGATGTTTTGCCTGCATCTGTGGCTGGCATCTTCAGAGGATCCTGGAACACGGCTATACATCCCGGAAGCCACACAACACCCCAAGCACTGTAAAGTTCTTTAGAAGCCATAAAAGAAAAACAATGAGGTTGTTTGGGGTGTTGTGTGAAGGCGGATCTGGCCAGAGTGGTCCATGCCTTAGTCACCTCCAGATTGGACTACTGTAATGCACTCTACGTGGGGCTGCCTTTGAAAACGGCCCGGAAATTTCAGTTGGTTCAACGGGCGGCTGCCAGGCTGTTAACTGGTGCTCCTTACAGGGAGAGGTCAACCCTCCTGTTTAAGGAGCTCCATTGGCTGCCGTTCATTTTCCGGGCCCAATTCAAGGTGAAGGTGCTTACCTACAAAGCCCTGAACGGTTTGGGACCCATCTACCTGCGTGACCGCATTTCTGTATACGAACCCACACGATCTCTTCATATATCTGGAGAGGCCCTGCTTATGATCCCACCTGCATCGCCAGCGCGATTGGTGGGGCCAAGGGACAGGGCCTTTTCGGTGGTGGCCCCACGACTCAGGAACTCCCTCCCCAAGGACATCAGGCAGGCCCCAACGCTGGCAGTTTTTAGAAGGAGCTTGAAGACGTGGGTGTTCCAGTGTGCCTTCCCAGAATAAGGACTCCCAAGCAATATGTCCCAAATGCACTTTACGAGAGAGTTAGTATTGTCTGCACGTGCACCTATTTTTAAAATATCCAACCTATTTCCCTGGACATGCCCAGCATATTAAAATTTTAATTCTTACATTTGGCTCTGCCACAGGTTTTTAATTGTGTCATGTTTTGCTTTGTTATGAGTTATTTATTGTTGTATTGTTGTTATGTTTTATGATGTATTTGGGCTCGGCCTCTTGTAAGCCGTACCGAGTCCTGCGGGAGATGGTAGCGGGGTATAAATAAAGGATTATTATTATTATTATTATTATTATTATTATTATTATTATTATTGTGTGGTTACTGGGCTGTATGGCTATTGTGTTCTAGCAGCATTTTCTCCTGATGTTTTGCCTGCATCTGTGGCTGGCATCTTTAAAGGATCCTAGAACATGGCCATACATCCCAGAAACCACACAACATCCAAGTGATTGTGGCTGTGAAAGCCTTCAACAATACAATTAGGTTGTTCTCCTCCAGCTGCATCAGCAATGCAAATATATATTTTAGATTGCAACTCCCAGACTTATATTGATTGGGAAACCACACAGCTGTGCTGACTGAGAGGTTCTGGAGTTGTAGGATTTAAAAACATTTTCCCAAGCTCCGGTGTCACTTGATAGCAAATTTCTGAAAGGAGGAGCTATGTCTACGAGGGTTGAATGAAAAGTAACACCTCCACCTTCGTAACTCCTCAACAGATGGCAGTACCGGTATGCGGCAGGTACTGGCTTGTTCAGTAGACTCTCCTCTACAGTTCCTTTTTGGCGGGCAGCCTTAGCATTGAATGGTTGTGCTGTTAAAATGCGAAGTATGGAACCCTGCGCAGGCGGTCGGTCAGTGTGACTTAAACAACGTGCAGTCATTGAATTCTTGACAGCAAAAGGTGTCACTCCAAAGGAGATTCATCAGAGAATGCAAGCTGTTTATGGTGACTGTGTTTATGTGAGTACTGTGCGTCGTTGGGCGAGTAAGTTTAAAGATGTTGAGGTGACACCTTCTACTGTCAATAAGTCAATAACTGAACGTTGCTTAAGTCGCATTGACCGATCGTCTGCGCAGAGTTCCATACTTTGCACTTTAACAACAGAACCGTTCGATGCTAAAGCTTCCCGCCAAAAAGGAATTGTAGAGGAGAGTCTACCAAACAAACCAGTACCTGCCTCATACCAGTACAGCTATCTGTTGAGGAGTTATGAAGGTGGAGGCATTAAGTTCAACCCTTATATCTAGTGTCATTCAACCCTTATATCTAGTGTCTCCAGAAGTTGGGCCTATAACTTCCAGCACCAGTCCATCTGGAAGGTTGCATTTGTAGTGCATCACTGGTAGGACCAAGGTTGAGAATGGATGGAAACTGATGCCTTTCTGTACTGTGGCTTTCCTCGATGTCTTCTCCTGCAGGACTGTGATGCTATCATCACCCTGGTAGAGACTCTCCAAGCCCTGCCGACGTGCAATATCGCTGAGCAGCACAACATCTGCTTCCACTACGCCTTTGCTCTTGACAGGTAAGGGGCACCAACAAACAAGGAATGCCCTCTGTTTACAGCCTCCTCAACCATCATTGCTTCTTTTGGTGTCCATGAGCCATGGTACTCTCATAACCCATAACCCATTCCTATTTAGGAGGAGTACAACGCTTTGGAGCACCACTTTGTAATCCAGGGATTCGGAATATTCAGAAATACGAACCTCTGAATTATTAATCTGAAAGCATTTACAAATCAAAAACTTTTAGGGAGATTTGTTAAATATTTTTTTATTTGGCAGGAGGGGGTCCTAGTAGCCCCTTCCTCCTCACTGTCAGCCCCACCTCCCAGTGTTTGTGTGTCTTACCCTAAACTTATATATTCCAAATCCCCATTCCTTTCCCAAGCTTTACACCCTTACCTTCCCCTTAGTTTTCTTAAAACAGCAGCCCTGTTCCTCTGGCACAAGCAGAATTCTGGGAAATGTAGTTTGGGAAACCAAAGACCTGTAGCAGAGTAATCAAAACATCCTGGTGTAAACTACATTTCCCAGAATTCTGCTCGTGCCAGAAGTATGGGGCTGCTCGCGTTAAAACCATCGTGTAAGTTGGGCTTAAATTGAAAAAAAATATTTAAAATGATTGGATAGACTTTCGGAGAATAATGCAGTGCAATAGCAGATTTGGAATATGTGCAGTGACTATGGAATCTCTTGGACTACGGTTATGGCGTGATTTTAATATTGAATGTAATGTTTTAAATGTGTAATATGTAATAATAATAATAATAACAACAATAATAATAACAATCTTTATTTATACCTCGCCACCATCTCCCCAATGTGGACTCGGAGTGACTTACATGGGGCCAAGCCCAGACAACATGTTACAGCAAAATAACACCAAAACATAGACAATAAACAACATCATCAAAATTACATAGAAAAAGAAGATAGATAGATAGATAGATAGATAGATAGATAGATAGATAGATAGATAGATAGATAGATGTAATGTTCGTTTGTGGGATTAACAGAACTCAAAAACCACTGGACGAATTGACACCAAATTTGGACACAAGACACCTAACAACCCAATGTATGTCCTTCACTCAAAAAAATTGATTTTTGTCATTGGGGAGTTGTAGTTGCTGGGATTTATAGTTCACCTACAATCAAACAGCATTCTGAACCCAACCAACGATGGAATTTAACCAAACTTGGCACACAGTTCTCCCATGACCAACAGGAAATACTGGAAGGGTTTGATGGGCAGTGTCCTTTGGCTTTGGAGTTGTAATTGACCTGCATCCAGAGATCACTGTGGACTCAAACAATGATGGATCTGGACCAAACTCTACACGAATACTCAGTATGCCCAAATGTGAACACTGGTGGAGTTTGGGGAAAATAGAATCTTGACATTTGGGAGTTGTAGTTGCTGGGATTTATAGTTCACCTACAATCACAGAGCATTCTGAACCCGACCAATGATAGAATTGGGCCAAACCCCCCACACAGAACCCCCATGTGGGCCACAGCAACGCGTGGCAGGGGACAGCTTTTATACATATATATATATATATATATATATATATATATATATATATATATGAACAGTGGGCGAGCCACATGTACAGGATAAAGTGATTAAAAGACTCTGACTCTAATGTATTAAATGTTTTAATTTTAATTTTAATCTTAATGTTCTTGTAATTATATATATTTTAAGGTATTGAATAATTGCCTATACCTTGTTTCCCTGAAAATAAGACATCCCCTGAAAATAAGACCTAGTAGGGGTTTTGCTGAATTGCTAAATATAAACCCTCCCCAAAAGTAAAACCTAGCAAAGTTTTTGAGCTCCCCCTGGTGGCCGAAAGCTGCAATACCATCTCTGTGTACAAGTGGTCCAGGAACTGCTGTGGGAGATTGTGACAGTCTCCAGTGTGTGGGAGCCAGGTACTTTACAGCCCTGATTTTTTGTGGCCCTGTGTATGAGTCAGGCAACCACATTGTCACTTTGATTCTTTAGGGTTTGTGATGACAGCTACTGTAAAGTATATACAGTAGTTGTGATTACAGCTACTGTACATACTGGTTTGTGATGACAACTATTGCTTTGTGATGACAACTGCTGTACAGTATATAATGAATATTCATATTTTTGTTCAACAATAAATGTGAATTTTTCTTCATGGGAAAATAAGACATCTCCTGAAAATAAGACCTAGCACATCTTTGAGAGCAAAAATTAATATAACACACTGTCTTATCTTTGGGATAGAGAAAGGCAGGGTATAAATAGGGTAAATAAATAGTTCTGAAACTTCACAGACTTGCCGCCCTGCTCATGTTATCTCACTATGCCACAATCTGATGGATTCCTCTTGTAGTTTTTTAAAAATATTTTAATTGGAAAAAAAACTTCCTAAAAATCCGTAGATGAACAAATCTTTATGAAACGTTGCAAGACTGAACCATTGCTTATTTTGTCTCATGTGCAGAAATTCAAGGGGATGTCTGGGTTGTTTTATTTTTTAAAGAAAATATTTGTAAAAACTTTTAAAATTTCCTAAATATCAAGAACAACACTCAAGATAAAATTTATTATGGTCCAAAGACCCTTATTACACTATAGCACTACACTATTATTACACTACATCGCACATTATTACACTACAAGCCACTCTAAACACCTTCGCAGAAGCATACGAGAAGCTCGGCCTGTCATTGAACATCGAGAAAACCAAAGTGCTCTTCCAGCAGTTGCCGGCCAGTCCCTCTCCAATGCCAGAGATACAGCTTAATGGTGTAACATTAGAAAATGTTGACCATTTACGCTACCTTGGCAGCCACCTCTCCACCAAAGTCAACATCGACACCGAAATACAACACCGCCAGAGCTCTGTGAGTGCAGCATTTTTCCGAATGAAGCAGAGAGTGTTTGAGGACCAGGACATCCGTAGGGATACCAAGGTGCTTGCTTATAAAGCTGTTGTCCTGCTATACACCTGTGAGACGTGGACTGTCTACAAACATCACGTACAACTCCTAGAACAATTCCATCAGCGCTGCCTCCGGAAAATCCCGCAAATCTCTTGGGAAGGTAAGCGGACAAATGTCAGCGTGCTGGAAGAAGCAAAGACCACCAGTACTGAAGGGATGGTCTTCCGCCATCAACTCCACTGGACCGTCCATGTTGTCCGGATGCCCGACCACTGTCCCCCAAAGCAGTTGCTCTACTCCGAATTCAAAAATGGAAAACAGAATGTTGGTGGGCAGGAAAAGAGATTCAAAGATGGACTCAAAGCCAACCTTAAAAAATCTAGCGCAGACACTGAGAACTGGTAAGCACTGGCCCTTGAGTGCTCCAGCTGGAGGTCAGCTGTGACCAGCAGTGCTGTAGAATTTGAAGAGGCACGAATGGAGGACGAAAGAGAGAAACATGCCAAGAGAAAGGCGCATCAAGCCAACTCCGATCGAGACTGCCTTCCACCTGGAAAGCAATGCCCTCACTGCTGGAGAAGCTGCAGATCAAGAATAGGACTCCATAGTCACCTACGGACCCACCTTGGAGGATTATCCTACTCGGACAATGAGGGATCGCCTAAGTAAGTAAGTATACAAGTTATACAGGTAATGGGATTAAGAACATCCAGTGGATAAAATTTGCAAACAGTAAAAGCTGCTTAAAATACATGTTGGCTAAAAACAAGGGTAAAAAGCTACACGAAGTGCCGGCGTGTTTCAGCCTCAAGGTATGCAGGCAATGAGAATTAAAAATAACCAGTTACATGGGTACACAGATGGGTAAAATTAACAACAGTTTAAAATTGCTTAAAACACAAGTTGGCTAAAAATCAGCGGATGACCAAAATGTTCTGAAACTTGGCAGGCTTCAAGTCATAAATATTGCCTATAAGTGTGCCAAGTTTCATCCTGATAGCTGTACAAATGATAAAAAAACGGCCCTCACAATTTTTCCCATTGCTGCTAAAGGAACAGATCTTAACAAAGCAATTACAAAGCTTCAGAGATTCAGATTACAAATCGGGACAGGACCTCTCTGAATCTTTATCAAAAGTGGGTGCCATCCGAATCTGAGAAATCAATTAGTAATTGGATTTTAGTCGTTTTGCACACCTCTATTCCTATACTGCAGTGGGAAAGAGGAGAGAAAATACTGAGAGAAAAGAGCAGTGATGGGATTTCCTGGAGCAACGGGGCAATTGAAAAACCTGCTTTATTATGGCATTCTCCTTCAAATTTTATTGTTACAGACAGAATAGCACACAGGACTGGGCATGTTTTGTAACAAAATTAGTACACAGCAAACAAGATCTCTATGCTGGCTTTTGTATTCTATCACACGTCCAACACTTCACAAGTGTCTAGGACTGTGTGATATATCGGCGAATAATGCAATGGCTTTTTGCAGTTGATATGGTAATTTTGTCAGTGCCAATTGTTTTTAAGTGCGGGCCATGGTCTTTAGGCACTGCATCCAGTGTGCGTATTATTATTATTACTGTATATACTCGAGTATAAGCCTAGTTTTTCAGCCCCTTTTTTAGGCTGAAAAAGTTTCCCTCGGCTTATACTCAAATCAAGGTTATTTATACTTTTTACTCTGTTATTAGTATTATTTTATTACATTTATTATTTTACTCTATTATTATTATATTTACATTATTTTGATCTATTATTATTCTATTTATTATTTTGCTCTATAATTATTATTACATTTACAGTATTTACCTTATTATTGTTATTACATTTATTATTTTAATGTATTTGTTATTATTATTATTATTATTATTATTGCATATACAGTATTTTACACTATTACTACTACATTTATTATTTTACTCTATTACTAGCCGTCCCCTGCCACACGTTGCTGTGGCCAACTCTGGTGGTCATGGGGGTTCTGTGTGGGAGGTTTGGCCCAATTTTATTGTTGGTGGGGTTCAGAATGCTCTGTGATTGTAGGTGAACTACAAATCCCAGCAAATACAACTCCCAAATATCAAGACTC